GACGACGAGACGAAGAGATCGCCGTCGAGATCGCCGCCAACCGCCGCCGCACGCGCCGCCACAAGGAAGCAGTCGCTGGAGTTTGTCGTCGCGCGTGAGAGCGCGTGAGAAGGACGATTTCCAATCGGTCAACGTCGTTTACTTTGCCGTGACGTCAGCTTTCTGGATTGGTCAAGTTTGTTCGATTCCGAGAAGATTTGATTTGCGGTCAACTGTTCGGGCCAGCCAGATCTACATAAATTTTAAGCAGTAAGTTTTCTTCATCAAACCTTTAGATCCGCTGCGCATAGGTTTATGTTGAATGTTTGTCCATGATTTGTGCATATCGAGATCCTCATGGGTTCCAACAGACCCATCAGCCTCAATACTGTGGATGTGCGACTTAGCACGCTTCTGCCTAACGAAACCCTGGAAGAACCTAGTATTCCGCTCGCCCTCGGCCACCCAGCGAACGGCCGCCTTCTCCTTCCAGAAATCCTCCTCCATAAGGAGTCGGAGCTGGTACTCGGCGTGGCAGCGGCGCATCGCAGTCCTATTCTCTGGATTGGGGTCCAGATCATAGGCCCGCTCAGCCTCCGCATGCGCACTCTGAGCTGCAGAAAGGCTCTGCTGCTAGGTTAGTTGTATAATACTGCTAGGTTAGTTATATGTAGTTGTTGTGTTAGTAATATCTAGTTGCTATGTTAGTTGTTTATAGTTGCTGGTTTAGATATATTTTCTTTATTATTTCATAACATATTTTTTTCATTTGTTTCTAGATGCACAGCGTTCCAATGCCCAATGAGAAATGGGATTATGAAAATAAAGTTCGTTTATTCTGCGAGGGTATGGCTGATGATTTAAGAAAAGCAGGATGTGAAGATAAACTTGAAGATATTGATATGGTAATTTTCTTTTTAGATTGGTATTGATGAGTTTAATTATTTAATAACATGCTAATATTATATAATTTTTGTTTTTTTATCAGATTATGTTCCCTGTGTGCAAGAGCGAGCACTTGTATGTTGTCTGTTTTGATTTTAAGCAAGATGCTATCAATATTTTGGACAATTCCTCTAATGGTGGAACCTCGCTTTCAAAATACCAGCCTTAACATGTGCATTTGGTAATAATTTCTAATCTTTTTAAATTAATTTTATAACATTGCATATACAGTTCAACATATTATATCAAGCACCGTTAACACATTTTTAATAACTGTTTTTTTTTTCTTTTTTTCAGAGAGATTTTCTTGTTAGATATTTGACATCCAGAAACCTCCCACGTTTGTCAGACAAGGTCAAAAGCATGAAAATAGCCAGAATCACTTTTCCTTGGAGAGATGCCAAAAACAAAGTTGACTGTGGCGTATTTGTTATGCGACATATGGAAACTTATTACGGAGGTGGTTCAAAAAACTGGAAGAGTGGCCTTATAAGGGACAAACCAGAGCAATTGAGAGAAATGCGCATTAAGTACTGCTCAGAAATTCTCTTAAATGACTTCAACAAGGTGAAAACAGAAAATGAGAAGAAGATAAATGCATTTCACACCGAGAAAAATCCTGCAAATAAGAGGTTAAAGGTTGTCCATTTCCAAGAAAACTGATTTTGTATATATGTAGTTGGATTTGATGGTACACTGTTGATGTAACACTTTTGATGTAAATATGATTTTTTTTTAATTAAGATTTATCTTTTGTTTATGGATGAATATGATTCTTCATGCAATGTTAGTTTTATGCTATCGCAAGGTTAGTTTTCTGAAGTTGCAAGGTTACTATTCCCTTGTTGCAAGGTTAGTTGTCTGTCTATTGCTAAGTTAGTTTTCTGAAGTTGCAAGGTTACTATTCCCTTGTTGCAAGGTTAGTTGTCTGTCTATTGCTAGGTTAGTTTTCTGTCTATTGCAAGGTTAATTATTTGGTCTTGCTAGGTTAGTTGTATTTTAGCTGCTAAGTTAGTTTTATCATGTTGCAACAATAGTTGTATAACTCTGCAATTTAGTTGTATATATCTGTGTTGTTAGTTGTCTGTGTTGTTTTGTTATTTTTCTGATGCTGCTAGGTTAATTATATATTTGTGCAATGTTAGTTTTATCATGATGCAATGTTATCTGTCTGTTGCTGCTAGGTTAGTTGTTTGTTAGTGCTAGGTTAGTTCTCTTTTTTTGCTAGGTTAGTTGTATGATTCTGTTAGGTTAGTTATATGTCAATCAACATTTATCAAATTTGTAAAAGAGTTTGATAGGATAGTTGTCTTCTATTGTTAGGTTTTTTTTATCATGTTGCAATGTTAGTTGTATATCTCTGCAAGGTTAGTTTTATTATGTTGCAATGATAGTTGTATATCTCTGCAATGCTAGTTGTATACATTTGCAATGTTAGTTATATAACTCTGCAAGGTTAGTTTTATCATGTTGCAATGTTAGTTGTCTGGTAGTGCAACGTTAGCTGTCTGTTAGTGCTAGGTTAGTTGTGTGTAGCTGTTAGGATATTGTCTTATATGGCAAGGTTAGTTTTATAGTTTTAGGTTGTTGCAATGTTAGTTATCTGTTGATGCTACGTCAGTTTTCTGGAGCTGCAAGGTTAGTTTTAGCTAGTTGCAGGTATAGTTTTTTGTTGTTTCCAGGTTAGTTCTACCTTGTTGCCAGGTTATTTTTGTCTACTTGCTT